ATGGCTCCTCTTCTGTCTTTCCTGACCAGTCTTTTAACTTTCTGGTAAGCTTCCTAGTAATCCTCTGCGTACTTCTCCTGTAGCCGTATCGACTTAGCTGCAATCTGTCTTTTCTTGATTTCTCCCCGTTCTTCAATAGTATTCCAAGTTCTTTGCTGTATCCATTCTTTGCTTGCATTCTTTTTCTTGACGCCAAGACATGTCTTACTGCTCTCTATGCTTCCATTTCGTATTGACTTCATCTGTATTCAGGGTGGTTTCTTCCAGGTCTTGGAGAGCTTGAAATCGGTTCTTTAGTTCTAGTCAGAAGGCAGATCTCACATTGCCTTCACTGAGCTTGTGAACATTAAATCGTGTCCTTGTCGCCTCCCTGCTGAATGTTTTCTTCAGTTTGAGTTTTATCCTTGCCGTCACTAAATGGTGATCGCTGCCGACATCTGCTCCTCTTCTGACTTTCACATCCTGTAGGGAACGTCTCCACATTCCTCCTATCATAAGGTGGTCAATCTGGTTCTTGTCCCGGCCATTTGGAGTATTCCAGGTCAGTTTGTGAATTGTACGGTGTGGGAAGAGGGTTCCGCCTACCACCAAGTTGTTCAATGCGCAGAAGTCCACTAGTCTTTCACCGTTCTCATTTCTTGTACCCGTACCACGTTGTCCCATCGTTCTCTCATAGTTGGTGTTGTCCTCTCCTACTTTAGCATTCAGATCAACCATTACAACAATAAGGTCGTGACGAGATATCTCTGTCAATTCCCTCTGTAGCTGTTTATATAAATAGTCCTTGCTTTCATCTTCACTGTCGTTAGTAACATTGGATGATGTTTGTGTTGGTGTGCTTTTCCTTCAGTCTCAGTGTCATCATTCTGCTGTTGATCGGTTTCCACTCCATGAGGCATTTCTCAAGTCCCTTTTTTAGGATGATAGCTACACCTTCCCTATGTTGGTTGTCTTTTCTGCCGGAATAGATCAGTGTTTCTCCAGTTGCTGTTCTCAGCCTGCCGGATCCTGTCCAGTGACTTTCACTTATGCCCAGAATGTGCAATCCATATCTCCTCATCTCTGACGTTACTTGTGCCAACTTACCAGTTTCATACATTGTCCTTACATTCCACAGTCCGAAGACAACTTTTGTCTTTGCGGTGTTCAGGTCCTCCATCTTCCTGCAAACAGCTTCCGTGTGGCTTTCACTGCCAGCATTCATACGAATCCCAAGGGACTCTGAAGGTCCATCACACACAGAAATATGATTTCTCTTTGTTGCTGTTTCCGTAACATATGCTTTTTTACCAGTCTGGGTTGTTAGCCCACCCTGAGCTGAACCTCCGAAAGCTGGAGGGCCGTGGATCACACTTCGTCTGACCTCTACCCGTCGACCTGTCTGGCATTGGTGGCCCTACCAGGAACATAATTGGAGCATTAGCTCCTGCCAACAATAATCATGAACGTATCCCTACCTTTTTTTAGTGTTAAGGTCTAGAACAGAAAAAAATAACTTTTAAAAAATGTATGTAGAACTAGAGTTCAATAGAGACCATTGTAGCATCAATCCAGGAACAAAGACCAAACATTGCCAGCTGATTTTAGATTCATGTTTTACTATGTTTTATATTAGTTATTTCCCCTTAAACCAGGATCGGAAAATAATATAATCAGACACAACAATCGTAATTGTGATGTTTTGTTTGTTTGGGGGTTTGTTTGTTGTTGTTGTTGTTGTTGTTGTTGCTTTTTTGGGGGGGTTGGGTTTTTGTTTGTTTTTTTGTTCACACCCCCACTCTTTCGATTTAGATCTTTTAAAAGAGCCTCAACCCTATCTGACAGGACCAACTCGGGCTGAGATGGATACAACATCCTAGTAGGCCTACACGGACGAATTTTTTCTAATAAAAAGAAAACCAACCGACAAACAAACAAACAAACAAAAGCGTGTCCTCTCGGGGATTGAACTCACCCTTACATTTGGTATTTATAGCGTCTGACGTCTCCTGCGTGAAACAGCTGGGAGATTTACCCGATTAGACACAGAAGCCCATCATAAACCAGGTAATAGACAGAAATCTTCTTTCATACCTATAATATCCTAAACATGTTTGATAAATCCCAATTTTTTTGCCTTATTCGTTTAGTTGGAAGAGTAAGCTAATTTCTGGACGTTGGCGATATGTTCAAAATGTAAAGGACGGACATTTGAACAAAATCTCCTTATTGTAGCAAGTTTTAAAAATTATTTATTTGTGTATTAATTTATTTATTTATATGCTAAGGTTTACAGGCAAACATTTCTATTTCTGTACAAGATTTGTTTTGACTTCTTGGCCGTGGACCTTACCATAACGTAAACCATTGAAGATCTGTTTTACACTTGCTGGAGAGTGGAAGTGTAATGGTGTCCGATTTTGACTTCGTGCTATTTCTAGGGAGGGTGCGGTGGCGGAGCGGTTAGTGCGCTCGTCTCCGAAGCGGAAAGTCCGGGGGGTTCGAGCCTCGGTTCGGACACGGATTTTTTTCGCCCCCTCCTGCCCACCCAGCAGTAATGGGTACCTGACTTCGAGTTGGGTAAATAAAGGCGGCGTGGAAAGGAGCTGGCCACCCTACCACAATATGCCGAAGACCCAGGAAGTTGTCTCACTAACAAGGCAATCCCCAATGTTCGGATCGGATGCGGGAACAACTTTACTTTACCTTTACTATTTCCAGGAGGGCATAACATTGGAGATCAAGGGGCTCGGGTGTCTCGAAAGAGGTGTGGGATGGAGGGGGAGAGGTGTTAAGTCAAAACTTAACGTCAGTAGGGCCAACAGCAATTTGCACTCTGCCAGGGAAAGGAATCCGTATCAGATTACACAAAATCAAGGGATTCAGGTGTGTGCGACCACTTGATACGTCACAAAACGACGAGGAAGGAGGCCACAAGATTTCCAGCAACTTGACAAGAAATTTAGTCATGTATAATATTTATAGCGCACAGAGCTTGCTGTTGGGCGGGAATGTGCACTATCCAAAAGCTGTTATACTTTAATAACATCCTAGATTTTTCTGGCACAACGTAAAGTAGGGTTTCATTGTTTAATTCTTGTGCCAGTTTTCACTCAACAGTGACAGTTTGTTTGTTCGTTTTGTTTGTTTGAGCAAAAAGAAGTACATTGACGCACTGGTGGCAATTTTGGAGTAAGGAAAAAACAAGATAGACAGAAATAAGAGACGGAAAGAAAAGAACTAGGACTTAACTATAGGCACTAAGCTGTCTGTGGCGAACACTGGTAACTGTGCAATGTATATATGCGGGATCAACGCCCGTTCAACACTGTAAGGTTTTAGTGGCCAGGACCACCGAATTTGACGTCCATCTCCGATAGGGCCAAGCCAAGAGAATGGAGAGCCTGGAAAATTCCCCAACCACCCAAGTTCAAGAACACCCCTCTGAGGGTTCGAACCGGCGCCATCAGCGCTGTAATCTTGGGGGATACCAATTCAGGTAGCAGTAAAATCAGAAAGTGCAGCCCGGAGAAATTTGATGTACACAATAATATAATATCTGTGCACGTTCGGTATTGCGCCGTTCGGGATTGGAAAATTAAACACAGGTGAAAATATATCATGCGTCTAGGCTAAAAAAGGCCCATTTCTTCGGGCTCTGAGCTCCGTAGAGGTCATGTTGACCGAGAACTCCGCCAAATACCACAGGAAGGTTATCTCAAGTGCACACGTGCACGTAGCAACTACCCTTTGTGAGTAACAGACCTGTTCGCTATTTCTGATATATATATCGGTTAGCTACTCGGAGGAAAATAGAAAGAAAGAATGCAGAAAGAAATTAAGCAAGAAGGAACAAAAGGGATAAACAAAGAACGAACGAATGTCTGAAAGAAAGAAAGAAAGAAAGAAAGAAAGAATGCCATACCTTACTTAGAACGTTTTTCGTGCTTCGTCCTTTGACAAAAGTACATATTTTCTTTTTTCTTTTTTTTAAAATTCGGGTGGAGAGTAACTTTATAGACACGTCCACCTACCGGAAAAAAATATTATGATGATTGAGTGACGGTCAACATTTTTATTGTTTTATCGGAATTCTCTCGTTTTTTATAGTATTTAAGTGTCGGTGGATTTTTTTTCTTCAGATCTGATCTGTGGATGTTGTCATAAACCGTTTCTTCGTATTTACAAGGCCATGCTGAAACACTGCCGTAGCTTCACCTTGCTTATCGTTAATGTAAGTACTATTTTTTTTCCTTTTTTGATCCTGTTCGAGTTAGTTCCTTCTTTCTTCAAACCAAATGTCTCCATAGACTTGCACTTCTATAGCATTTGTAAAAGTATAAAAACTCGGGGGGGGGGGGTGATGTATGAAAGTTGTCAAGCAACACTCAAAAAGAAAAGAGAAGGATAGAGAGAGATTGAAATAGATAGAAAGGCAGGAAGACAGACAGAAACAGCACCCAGAGAGAGGGAAAAGAGAGCACAGACAGACAGACAGACAGACAGACAGACAGACAGACAGACAGACAGACAGACAGACAGACAGACAGACAGACAGACAGACAGAGAAAGAGATGGAGAGGTAGAGAGAGAGATGGAGAGGCAGAGAGAGAGAGAGTGTGTGTGTGTGTGTGTGTGTGTGTGTGTGTGTGTGTGTGTGTGTGTGTGTTTGCAATTGAGAGAGAGAGAGAGAGAGAGAGAGAGTGGGGAGTGAGAGAGAGAGAGAGAGAAAGAAAGAGAGAGAGAGGGGGGAGAGAGAGAGAGAGAGAGAGAGAGAGAGAGAGAGAGAGAGAGAGTAACTCACTGTGCCCCAAGAACTGATTAGAAAAACTCTATTTCTCTGTGATTGAAGCTTAACACACCACAAGACATATGGGCTGTCTATTAAGCAGTGAGTCATATGAACCCGTCAGGACATTGATCCTAAAGTCAACTTGGGTTCGAACCCTGAACAAACGGAGTTTGAGATATCAAAATACAGTTTTCTCAAAACATTGCTCTGAACGTAATGAAAAGAGTAATGCAAGATAAGCAGTCTTTATTCTACATAACAAAACACTCATAATATAACAAAACATGATTTAATTCAAAGAAATGGATGACCAGATATCAAACAAAATGACACCAATAAGTATGATTACGCTTTCAACGACAATTAAATTTAATAAAATGCGGGACCCTCCTCTGCAATGCCTGAATTTTTTTTTTTAATAGTCTATAATATACATTTTATATACCAAGATTCTTTCAGACCCTTGGTTCTTTCTTTACATGCCACATTTGAATAAGATAACATAACAGAATAAAAAATAGAAACTTACATGTGATTCGTGTTTACAATAGCGCCTTATACATCACTATGTCATGTACCATGCAATGCACCATGAAGTGCTCATAGCTAAATGTGGCACGAAAAACATCTAGCTCATCCATTACATTCGTCTCCATCTCCAACTGTCTCGACCATACCTTGCCATTGAATAAAGATGGTCTGAGACGAGAGAGTGTGGTGGACATCACGCAACTATACTTCATTTTAAACAAAGTCACCACGCATGTCATCAGTCATTACTCACCACATCTCATCTCTACCACCAATAGCCATGTGTTGGTGGAGCGAACGACGAAGCAATAGGTATGGTTACACACTGGAAGTCGTAGCCGCAAACTGCACAGATGTGTCTTAAGCCAAATTATGGTCGGCTGTCATTGAACTGCAGCACCAGTGGTAGTGAACAGCTCTCCGATCAACTGAGCTGCCCTTTTAGAATAGCACTGCTCATCTCCATGGAATGAAGAAGGGGATAGAAAAGGTGCCCTAAAACTGGCTGCTCCACATGACCCGATCCTGCATACTGCGGCTGACAGGGGTCTTATTACTGCTGTGAAAACAAGAATGTGAGAAAAACGAGAATTACTCCTCTGAACCTAGCAACGCGTACAAAACTTCGCACGCTCATAAATGCGGATGCATCGAATAGACCCCAGAGACACGTAATACCTCATTGCAAATGAACTTTCCAGATACATGTATGACATTAGCATCGCTGTTTAGAATCCACCATGCTGAATGACGATGACATGGAAGCAACATGCCGCACCTCGGTAGACAGAGCACAGCACAGCCAAAGAGTATAAAACCCACAACTAGGAAGTACAGTGCTAGTTCGATGGGAACTGCACTGAAATTTCGGGAAATTGCTATGCCTACAAAGTGCCCATTGACGACCCACGGTCAATATCAGAGAACAAAATGCTGAGAAATATCCTCAGAGCCATTCAGCAAAAACTGCGACAGATGCGATACTCCTGGTTGAGCAACAAAGCTGATGGGATTCGGGGCTTTGCAGAAAGAAATGAGGCAATGGACACTGTACTAATTTTGGAGGAGACTTTAAAAGCAATTTGTCTGTTATCCAGAGACAAAGAGCCTGACTGCGACGCCATCGAAGCTGAAATCTACAAAGAGGGCGGTGCAGCTCTGATGGATAAGCGTATAATCAGCTTCTATCTATGGCAGCACGAGACCTTAAAGATGCCTCCATTCTTCATCTTTTCAAACGCGGAGGAAACCGTCAGGCTCGCCTATACTCAGCCGGATCATTACATATCTTGAGCAAAGTGTACTACCTGAGAGTCAATGCGGCTTCCAGAAAGAACGCAGGGCCATCGACATGGTGTCTGCTTTCAGGCAGAAAAGTATTAGGTGTACACCACCTGTATTGATCTGACCAAAGCCTTTGACGCTGTCGGTGGGGGCAGTCTTTGTAGAATCATGACAGAGTACGGATGCCTCAGCGAGTTACATTCCATCGTACGTCAACTTCCTGGCTGCATGCTGGCCAGAGTCCAAGCTAATAGTAATAGCGAGACACTTGAACCATTCTCAGTCCCAAACGGAATGAAGCAGGGTAGTATTCTTACTCTCATCCTGTTCAGCCTCAAGTTCGCGGCTATGCTGACTAATGCACTCAATGACGTTGAGATAGACGAAGGCATCACGTACCGGACAGATGGACCAATCTTCAATCTTAGAAGACTTCAAGCGAAAACAAAGATCAAAATGGAAACAACGAATTTCTCATCGCGGACGACTGTGCCCTCACCGCTGTCTCAAAATCAGAATGCAACATAGTGTTGAAGAATTCTCTGCTGCCTACAACTACAGTGTACGTCCATCTGACAAACAGTACGAAAAAGATTGAAGCTATGCACCAGCCAGCCAAAGGATAGGCATATTGAACCAGTTGTCACCATCACTGGACATCAACAAAATGCTGTGTACAAGTTCATTACCAGCGCAACACTCTGTCCAGAATCGTTTTCATCAATGATGAGGTGAATGTCCGGTTTGCTGAACTTTGTGCCGTCTTCGGCAGACTCCACAAGGAATCTATGGGGCAAGAAGAGAGGCATCACCTCAAAGACCAAGACGGTGTACCGGGTCATAGGTCTCCGCACACTGTTCAATGACTGTGAAAAATGGACAGTTGGCCAGCGTCGCGCAAAGAAACTGAATCATTTCCATTCAACTCTTTTCCTCAAGCGACAAAATTTATTTCATACGATGGCTTAACACTTGTGTTAGAGTGTCACGCATGTCAATGCGACAGATGGTATGTGTTAGTGCTTTGGTGTTGTTTTTTAAGGGGTTTTTTTTCTTATTTTCTTAACTAAAATAGTAATTTAAGTTTCATCTTCGATAAAATGTTTACAAAGTCAATATTATATAAAGAAAAAATAACTTTACAAATTTACAAATAATTGTCTAGTTTTCTTTAAGGTAAAAAAAACTTTCAATCAATCACAACAATCTTTTGAGCAGCTTATCACACTCTACATATTGGGTGAATATAGGGTGTCTATAGAGTTTTGCTTTTTTGTTTTGTTTTGTTTTGTTTGTTTATTTCGGGGGAAGATGTTGATGCAGCACTGAGTACAATGCTTAAAAGAGGAAGAAAAGAAAAAAAACACGAGCAGACCTCTATAAAGAATGCACGGGGGGCGGGGAGGGGTATGATTTCGTCATTTGTTAGGAATTCAACATTCTACCTTTACATCATACGAATCATACAGGTGAACCAGATGAACGAAAAGTAAACAAACTCTTTTACCTTTGGAATAAACTTATGGGTCTGTCTGCTGGAAGCGGTTACTCAGTCCTTCTTGGCTCTTTCAGATTAAAGCCTTGAGTATAAGAATATATAAAGCATTATTCTATACTATTTTATAAAGAGCAAATCAAATTGGGGGGGGGGGAATCTTAAACTACACCAAATACACTGCTCAAATCATTACGTCGCACGTTTTATTTTATAGTTAAATCCTGCATTTATTTTAAACTTGCACGCGCGGATACGTGTCATACTTTACGATCAGGTTTACTTATTATGGAGACCAGCAAAGCAATGACCTTTTCAACATCAATCACGCGCAAATTATCAGCAATGAGCTGGAACTAGATTTGTTTAAGCCAGTTCCACCTTGCTCTCTTGCTCACAAAGGTAAGCTTTACTCCTAAGCATAAATCTTACCATAATTTCTCCTGCTTGTGTTTGTAAAATTAGAAGGATTTTTAAAAAGACAATGCAAAGTAGGGCATCTGGGGGTTTAAATCGAAGACAACACACTTTAAAAAATCAACAGATTGCCCTTCTCGGCCATGTCATTCAGCAACTGAATTAAACTTCTGGGGGCTTTTCTTCAGGATAGAGTGTCCAGGAGGTTTCGGAGGTCTGCTGAGGACTGATGAAGAAGAAGAAGTCTTGGACTGAGATGATGAGCCGAGGGACAAAGTTGGTGGTGTTGTTGATGATGATGGATCGGAGTTGTCGTTGTCTTCGTTATCGTCTCTTTTGCTACGGCTTCGCAATTTGCCAGCATTGCCATTGTCTTCATCGTCGTTGTTATTGTCAATGTCATCGTCATCGTCGTCGTCTTCTCGTGTCTTGAGGAGTTTCGCTCGTCGTGCTTTGTCGCTCTCCAGCATAACGCTGATGACGGAGAAGTCACGTGCGTCGCAGAGGTCAAGAGGTCGTTCGCCGTCGCTTGTTTTGATGTCTTTGCTTGCTCCTTTGCTCAGGAGATATCTGGGGGCATGAGACAAGAGAAAAATGTATGAGACGTGATGGGACAGTACGACATAGGATGAGGTAGTTTGAGGTAAGGAACAGATACCTTGCATCTTCGTAAGCTGAAATATGTTTTGGAACGGACATACATTTACTACTTTCATGTTCCAGCAGTTCAGTGGAGCTTGCATCTTTTGACAGCAAGGTACGATGGCAAATTCATTGGTTACCCAAAGTTGTCAGCCTTAGAATACATAATATCTACGTTGTCTTGATTCGCCAATTTGTGGCGTAAAAAGCTTACTAGTTGTATCCCCATACGTCTGCTGGGATTTTGTCTCAAATTCAGCTCTGTTTGACCCTCACATGCTGGGTCGAAGAAGCCGACTTTCTTTATTCCTACATGATCTATAATGTATCGACGGAGGCATGAAATTTTGACACCTCCCCCACCCCTCCCATATTAAATAAATGAATGAATGAATGAAGGAAGGAAGGAATGAATTAAATGAATGAATTAATGGATTGATGGATGGATGGATGTGTGGGTGGGTAGATGGATATAGATGGATGAGGAAAGAGAGAAGGAAACAAACAAACAAACAAACAAACAAACAAACAAAGAAATTGGGCCACCTGGCAATGTCGCCCTCTCCGTTGGCGCAGGCAGCGTGTAGCGGTGTCCATGTGTCCACATCCTTCTTGTTGACTTCCGCACCGTGCTGCACCAGGAGCTTCACAGCTGCCAAGTTGCCCTCCAGCACAGCGTTGTGCAATGGCGTCACTCCTGAGGACAGAGAAGAACGTATACACAAAGATGTGGGGAGATTGCAATGGCGTGAGCGCATTTTGGAATAAAATTCCAAAAGGTAGATCACCAAATTGGGCGATTAGCTAATCTCGTGTGTCTAGATCTATGTGTTTGTAAGATTTAAATTTTTTTGCTTGACTTTTTT